TGTGTGTTTTTGTGTTTGTGTGTGTGTGTGTGTGTGTGTGTGTTTTTGTGTTTGTGTTTGTGTGCGTGTGTGTGTTTGTGTGTGTTTGTGTGTGTTTGTGTGTGTGTTTGTTTGTGTTTGCTCGAACTCGTACTTTCATACCTTCGAAGACTGTGTAAGTGCACACGGTCTGCATTGCACGTGCATGCCTACATATAACCCGATGTGCACCTGCACACGATTTGTAAATTCCATGGGCACACACCTGTACATGCGCGCATTAGTGACATTAGCGTCTTGCAGGGATGTACAAACTCCAACTATCTCTCTATATTTCTGTGTAAATCTATGTATATGCGCTAGCCCTTCTTCAGCACAGACAAGGAAAGCGAGGGCATGCCCGCCCTCCCACTCTTCCCAGCAAGCGACTCCAAGCGATTGCCGCGGTTACACTATACTGGGTTGTAGCCCTTAGAAGTCTTTCTGATTAGGTACCTTTATAGGAAGCATAAACGGATATCAGAAGTTTCCCAAAATGCCACGTAGTATGCCTTTGCTGCAGATACTATGCCTGGCCATGTGCCTCGTGCTGGACAATTTGCGTTGTTGCATTCCCTTGCATTGTATTACATTCTTCCTTTTAGCTTCATACTGTCCAGAGAAAAGGGAGAGAGAGAGAGAGAGAGAGAGAGACTGGAAGCATGTAAGGAGCGAGTCAAGAATGTCATAGAGGACAAAACAATCACCACTTTGAGCCCCGGCCTCCAACCCCTTGCAGCCCTCCCGGTCCTGAACTGGGCCGGCTCCACCTCAGGGGCCGAATTGAAGTCCCCCAGAAGCAACGTCAAGTCAGTGGGTCCTGACCTTCGGCAGAGCTCAGGTGGCATCTGAGTTGGGGAGCTGAAGTCTGAAGCTTTTGATGGAGCATCTGTGCATAGCTTCTCTCGAAGGATTGTAGAATCGACCGCTTGGTGGATGGGGGATTCACAGCCTTCGTTTTCTTAGTGCTTCCGTACTGTGTCCCTCAGACTTCGGCCTGTTCAGAAGTGTGTGCTCCCGGACTAAAGCAAGGCACGGAAGAGTAAGGTGGCTCCCTCGACAAGGATGCATAAGGCGTAGGACAACTTTGAGCGGTTTGGGCCTTTCCAAGAGCAGGTTCTCGCAAATCCGCAGCTGCTCCTGGCGTTCTCTGCGGCGGGACGGCTGCCTCTGATTCTGATGCGAATCCGCCGGGAGATGGAGGTTGGCCACCGTGACCTCAGTAGGTGGGGCAGCGCCACCATGAGGCGCAAGATGGGTAGTTGGATCGGGGTCCACCAGCAACTTCTACCACGGCACCGCCCGGCTCTCGCCCAGCAAGACAGGGAAGGAGGCCAGGATCACAGTCTTGTGAGGGCTGATTCCTGAGAGGCGGCTAACGGGCTTGACTCGCAGGCCACACGCCTACCTCGTCACCAGTCTCAGTCAACAGAAGACTACAAGGGATTCGCCATCTGGCATGAGGTGTAGTTAGGCACTTGCCATGCGTTACACCGTTCCACGCAGCATTGACCCCAGGATGTGGTTAACATCTGAGGCTTGTACGCGCCAGAAAGGCTGACTCCATGGGGACCCTGGACAAGATGAGCTGGCCGGACGGCTCGACGCTTGCCTCGAACCGATATGTGTCGACTCAATGACTCTGGGGCGAAGGTCTTCTGGAGACAAGTGGCTATGGAATTTGCGCCTGCACTGGACCAGCACTGCTCCCGCACCCAGGGCTGCGAAAGAAGCGCCTCTGCGAACTGCGGGGTGACCTGCCGGCAAGAGCTACACCGAAATCCAATGGTCAGAACTTGATGCTCCAGCCTGGAACCTGAAGCCAGCTCTGTTTTGCCATGTTTTGGAATTTGCCCGCGCCACGCACACGCCGTCTCTCTGGTCTGTTCTGTTCTCCGGGGCATCGAGGGTTGTCTCTCTCCCTCTTGCTTGCTTGCTTGTTTACCGTGCGCGCTTTCTTTCGCCGGGGCTATGGTGCATTATGGTGCAGGGGTTTGGCCCCCTACACCGCCCCCGACGGTTGACGGTTGCGGGTGGCAGTGAGTTACATTCGAACAAAGGCGTGTGCGCTCTCTCTCTCTCTGGCTCTCTTTGTTTCGCCAGGGCTGTTCTCTCTATCTCTTTGTCTACCGGGACAGGAGGCTGTTCTCTCTCTGTCGCTCTCTCTCTCTCTCTCTCTCTCTCTCTCTACCGGGACAGGAGGAAGGGACGGAAGTACGCCCTCCCCCGTGTGCAAACGCGCACCCGCATGTCCTGGCGGGGTTTCAAGTGGTCCGTTGGGGGGCTTTGCCCCCGCCGGCTCGGCTGTTCACTGCAGCAGCACTGGTCCTCCCTTGTTCAGTGGCAGCAACAAGACTAGAAAGCTGAGTATTACGACTGGGGAGAGCAATTGCCCACACCTGTTCACTGCCTCCACTCACAACGCTGTTGCACTCAAGGCATCGGGGTTCGAGGGGCTGGTGAGGCTCCCGGCGCCGCTAGGCGCGCCCCTGCGTTAGGGCCTTGTGAGGGCTTGGAGAAAGACATGGATGCTCGGTCTGTTCTCTCTCTCTCTCTCTCTC